CCAAAAATAAAACAACATGGGAATTAGAATACTTGGAAGAAACTTAAGGGTGTGCATGAATGCATATAAAAGCATCTTGCATCTTGACACATGATGTAGTTCTTGTTAACTGGAAGGTGGGAAGCATTTTAAAATTCTCCATGTCATATCTTATCATTTACCTTGGCATGGTTGCTGAGTCTTAGCTGAGCAATTTTTGCTTTCCTGCTTCTGAACCACTGAAAAGAGCCTAAGATATTAGCATTTTAGTAATGTCTAGAAGCTGTTTTAATGTTGCAAATGAGTCACTTAAGGCCTAAGCAGACTGCCAGAAATAGTGCACATTAAATTGAGGCACTGTCCTGGCTCAGTGCTAGGGAATCATGGGAACTGTATTTTTTTCTGAGACATTGAGCCTTCTCTGTCAGAGAGCTCTGGTGCCACAATAAATTACAGTTCCCATGATTCCCTAGCACTGAGCCAGGGCAGTGCCTCAATTTAATGTGCACTATTTCTGGCTGTCTGCTTAGGCCCTTCGTCAGGTTTTGACTTCCATGCATTTGTCAGTTCCCCTCTTTCTCCTTTGGCCAGACTCTGGGTAGCCTTCCCTTTAGTAGCTGTTTTGTAGTACTGACATCATCTGTGATTCATCTTGCAATATGCAGTCATTTCCTGACTTCCTCAAAGATTTCCAGGCCAAAATTAAATGGAAAAGGCAATTTGAAAAGGAAAATGGGGTGGCTGGGTGGGGAGTGAAATGCCCTTTTAGAGCTCTTGCCAGTGTATAAGTGTCCTGCAGGACATTATGGCTGCATATCCTGGACAAGAGGACTCCTGGTGGGAGGTGAAGATAGACCTGCATGCTCTAGTGGATTCCACATGTTTCCTTCTGTTATTACCAGCAGCTGCTTTTTTAAAAACAGGATGTCACCTGTCCAGAAGGCAAGGACAAGGCATTTTTTGTATCTCTTTACTCAAAAGGAATGGTGAACACTGTTTGCTTTATTGTCTTTTAATAGTGATCAATTCATATTTTGCTGTCGAAGAGCCCATGTTACATAGTCCCAGATGATCCTAACTT